CCAGGAGCCGCACAGGGGGGCAACCACAGCCAAACAATAGAGTTGGCGAAAACTAGTAGTCGGATCGTCCATCGTGGTGATGAAATTTCTCTAGCCCTTGTAAGGTGTTGTAAGGGTGTGAGCTGATTGCTGACATTCTTGCACATACTGAGTGGCTTCGGAAACTGGTGGGCCTTTGGATGAGTCTGGTTGGTAGAGGAGAACGGTGTCGATTGGAGATGATGGTTCTCGACCATAAAGTAAAAAAAGGGAGAAAATCATGTCGTCACTTGAGGTGCCGTGTTGTTAGCGAACGTTAAGTAGGGAAGGATAAGATCCCAGTTGGTGTGGTCGGAGAACACGTACATAGAAGAGTGTGGTTGAAACGTCGGGTCAAGCCATTTGTTTGTGGGTGATATGCGGTAGTACAGCGGTGCATCACATGACATTCCCCAAGAAGTTCTTCAATAACTTCCGCGAGAAAGACGCGGCCTCGGTCACTGAGGAGTTCACGTGGAGCGCTGTGACACAGAACAAAACGTTGCAGCAGGAAAGACGCAACGTGATGTGCCATCGCGGCTGGTAGAGTGGCCGTTTCTGCATATTTCGTGATATGGTCGATCGCTACAATAATCCAGCGATTCCCAGCTTATGTATACGTCAAAGGACCATAAAGGTCTATTCCACCCCGGTCCGAATGGTCGCACTGGGCACGGTAACGGCTGCATTGGTGCAGTAGGAGCAGCTAGGATCATGTTGGCGGCGCTGGAACTCTGTGCATGATCGAATGTACTTTGAACAAATGTGTACATGCCGCGCCAATAAAATGCAAAACGTAGCCGGGCGTAGGTTTTAAACAAACCGGCATGTGCACACTGCGCATCGGCATGGTAAGCAGCACATATGCTGGCACAGAGATGCCTGGGTATGACGAGTAGCCATTTGCGGCCGTCAGGGTGGTAGTTGCGGCGATAAAGTATTCCATCGCGGGATAGCGAAGTGAGAGGCTTGTCGGTAGTAGTGCTTGAGATGGCAGGTGGGCGATTGTTTCAGATGGGTAATTCATCAAAGACGCAATCCACGAATCTTCGCGCTGCTCCACAGCCATGTCGATGGGCCCTGATCGTAAAACGAAGTTGTCTTGGATTGAGACACTCGCATATCAGTAGGAAAGGGCGAACGCGAAAGAGCATCGGCATTAGCGTGCTTCTGGCCTGAGCGATAAATGACACGGATGTCGTACTCTTGGAGCCAGTAAAGCCCACCGTGCCAAGCATCCGGAGGGATCCTTGAGGGAGCATAACCAGCAGAGCGCGTGGTGATCGGTAACAACATCGAAAGGGCGGCCGTACAGATAAGGCCGAAATTCTGTAATAACCCACATGATCGCTAGGCATTCTTTCTCAGTTACCGAATAATTTGCTTCTGTTCTTGTAAGAATGCAGCTCGCGTACGCAACAACATATTCTTGGTAACCAGGCCTTCGTTGGGCGAGTACAACGCCAAGACCGACACCACTAGCGTCTGTGTGAATTTCTGTGGGAACGCGTAAATCGAAATGACGCAGTATGGATGTTGTTGTAAGCAGTTCACGGAGCTTATCAAAGGCACTGTCGCAGGCTGGAGACCACGCAAATAGATTGCGGTCTCCATGAAGTAAGTCTGTCAGAGGGGCCATGATCGGGGCAAAATCCTGGACGAAGCAGCGGATATATGAGCAATCCCAATAAAACTACGCATCTCATTGAGACACGAAGGCCTCGAGAACTCGCGAACAGCACGTAGCTTAGCGGGGTTAAGAATAATGCCATCCTTCGACACGACGTGTCCGAGAATCATCAGCTTGCGTGCTCCAAAGTAACACTTCTTCAAGTTTAGTTGGAGGCTTGCTGCAGAGAGGCAGCGTAGAACCTGTTCCAAGCGACGAAGGCGCGTAGGAAAATCGGGCGAGAAGACCACCACATCGTCTAAGTAGCACAAACACGTGTTTCATTTGAGGCCTCGTAGAATAGTGTCCATCATACGCTCAATTGGCAAGAAATTGTATCATTTCACAATGCTCCGACGAAAGTCGTTATAATTTGAAAAGGAAAGCTGTACAGTATACAAGCTCCGAAACAAAGTGTGGGTGGGAACACCTGTACGTTCGCCTGGCCTATCTGAAAAACTGTTGCGGCATTATTTCGGCCTTTACAAGGTACTTTGCCAGTTAGCCATCCTGAACTACGAAGTAATTCCTGCAGGTCAAGTGTGCTCAACGCGATCCAGGAATAAACGAGAAGTTGTACATGTAGTACGAATGCAACCGTACTACGTAAGGCACTGAACGATAACTGCTAAATGTGCTCAAGCATCAAATGAATGTTACTTTCCAAAAGTGTTCGGCGTCAGTGTACGCATCGGGATGATGCGTTTCAGGAGGAGGATTATTGTCGCATGTTGTTAGGCACCGACATTAGTTTTCTGCCAGGTCACAGTATCGAATCCCGGCTGCGGCGGCTGCACTTCCCATGGAGGCGGAAATGTTGTAGGGCCGTGTGCTCAGATTTGGGCGAACGTTAAACAATCCCAGGTGTAGGATATTTTCGGAGTCTTCTACTACGGCGTCTCTCATAATCATATGGTCGTTTTGGGACGTTTACTCTCTCATATCAATCTATGAAATGTAGTCTTGCGCCACTTCCAAATCCTATGTATTTTGCCACACCAACTGACAACCAAAACTCGCCAAGCAAAACGCTCCATGCAACGCTGGGCTGTACGTCCCAACACACCAGGCACGCTGGGAAAAGAAGGCTGGCGGCTTTTTGAGCGGCACGCAGCGAGACGCCAAAAGAAGAGTATGACAAAGTGTGAACAGTTTTATGCACTTTTAGTTGCATATGTGACTCACGATGCCACTTTTCTACTTTTGTCAAGTGAATTGGTAAAATAATGTTATGATCGACGCCAGTAACTTCCCTATATAATATTTGATCATCAGGAAACAGCGTGATGGAAGAAGCGATGGTGTCGGGAAGGTCAGTTACGAATTACAAAACGAGCAACGGACCCAAGACTAAGATTCGAGGGACACCAGATGTTACGCTAGCAAGCTCAGGACAGCTTCTGTTTATTTATTTGACGGGTACTACTCCTCCCAAAATAAATAGTTGTTTTAGCGGCCGTCGTTGTACTTGTCTGTTACAATATAAAGATAAAAGCCAACGCTAGAGGCGCCTTCTCCCACGGCGAAGCATAGAAGTGGCCGCGGTACTGCAATTGTACGACACGAGCAGGAGCTGTGAAACGTTAATAAATGTAGCCGTGAAGATTCAATACGTTTTCAGAGGGATGTTAGCTTCAAAGAAATTCGGTAAAGCACTGACACCGTGAAATTTAGCGTCGAACGAGGCCTTGAAGCTGGAAATTCCACGGCATGCTTATTCCACTGTAAGATATGTTACGGCTATAAAAGCGTGCTTTTCTTTTCCTTGAGCATCTAGTGAACATCGGTGTATGATCTAGTCCTTCAACAACTCTTATGGTTCTTAACGCGTCGCATAAGTGCAGTGGTTGCAACATTTGAGAGCGGATTTCCAACATTCCAGGCTATATATGCATTCGGTGTTTCTATATACGGAGTATATGTACCTTAAAAATGCATCGCTTTTGTTACACCAATGGCCACTTTGAGTGAATCAGTGATTTTAAGCATAGTAAGTGATGACGATCAAGCCATACTTCATATGATGTTTTCCTGTTTTATTTTGCGTTATTTATCACTGCGGTGCCGTATATAGCATGTTGCAAGTTTGATTAACGATGCAGTGTAGTTTCTCAGTTCTTTACTCTGCTGTGTAACATACTAAGCTGTATTTTGCCTGTCCCTCTTTATTGTTTTGACTGTAATGGCGAAAGCCTTACATACGCCCTCAAACGTTGAAATTGACCTACTGCGTCCCCCGGCGGAGGCGTCAATATGTGACCCAAAAAGTTATGTTCTGGTGCTCATGAACCATTGATATTCAAAATTTGGTTTTCGAGCTTTTACAGTTCGCGCAAGTTTTGTGCAGCATTGTGGTGCAACCTCTCATGCGCCGTCACCCTAGCAGACTTCTATTGGTAACGCTGAAGTATCTGTTGCATGCAACAGACGAGTGCTTTGATTGTATGAAGAAGTTAGAAGCTGCATGTAGCTCCGCTTGTTCGGGATATCACTCTACACTTTTGATCGACTCAATGGCTGTCAAAAGAAAACGGTAAGCATTTGACGCATGGAACAATTATACGAATATTTATTGTAGGCGGGCCCCCTTCCAACACTACTGACGTCGGTGGCGGCTGCCACTACAGCTCAATCCAACTTCCTCCGCCAAATTCAAGCTCCACATGCCCACTATGCTTTACACTGCGGACAAAAGAAAAAGCTCTCTCGCGCCTAATTGTGCACATCACCTACGTCCTAATGTAATGATACACACAAGCCACATAGTCTAGCCCCCATAGCCCAGCTCAGTGCTCGGATGGCCCTCCTCACGCCTTTATTTTCTCCTAACTTTTTTCTGTCTCACTCAATTTCGACATTGTTGGCTTCAAAGTGTCCGGTATATAAGAGTTTTGCTTGTTTCGAGTGGTGACACTTCTACTTTGCCGTTTTCTGTCAACTGACGAGTTGCGCGCACCTGTTTTGCTAACTAATCGTCTGCTTCTATGTGATTGTTAGGCGCGTTTTTCGCAGCCGGTTGTAGCGCATGAAAATTAAATGCAAAAAGTTTTGAAGCGCTAAAGAATAGACATGCGCTGCTTTTAAAAATGTCTACTATCTTCTTGGCGTTTCGAAGTAATAATTAAGACTCTGGTGATAAAATATAAAAGAAGAAAGTGGCCCCAATCGGGAGTCAGGTATACGTACTAGTAATTGCATTTAAGATTAGTTTAATAACGTTGGGTAGAGGTAAGAAGCGAAAATTTGTAGTTCTATATATGGGCGAATAGCAAGAAACTTCGTACGAAAGTAATAACGTGTTTGCATCACTCACCACAAAGCGTCAGCTTGAATTGCTAGACCTTCACGACTCTCGGCACCATACGTATGAACAACAATTAGTCGAGCGACACGTTCCCCCCTCGCTTGGCTCACAACTATAGCGAAATAGAAGATAAACTACTGGCGCAACCGCCCGAGCTCCAACGTCAGCTTTCACGTTGACGCTGTCATATGGCGTATCTGCTACTTTTGCGGCGAGCTTCAGCTGCGTTTTCAGGCCGTCGCGGACTCCTGCAGAGCTGCAGCTGAGGTCACTTCGGAGGTCATTTTGCCTGCCGATTCACGCAAACATAGTGTTAAGAGGTTAATTTCTGCCTGAACAGACAAGTATAAGCCTCGAAATGGTGTAAGGAACCAGTGACGGTTTACATAGGAGAACGTGCACTTTATTGCTGTTTCGCACAGGATAAATACATATTCGCGCAGGATAAATCTCTGCTCGAAACGAAGTTCGAATGCCAATGAAACTTCGACAAATTCTTGTCAGCCCTCTTGAGGTGTCACCCCCCCCCCCCTTTTTTGAAAGTTCATCATTCAGGGGGGATGAAAACAACGATGCCTTCAGACGTCGGAGCCGCTGCTGTGGCAACCGAAACCAAGCAGTGTTAATTCGTTCGCCGCTTCGACATGTCTTGAGCTACTTGTTCGTTGGTGCGGGATATCTCACAAAGTACAGACTCCACCACGATCATTGCGAGAGAATACCATAGAGTGCACCAGCACACGTGCGGTAAAGTAGCTTGCTACAACTGGCAGTGGCATAACACAGCCTGCATGAAACGCTCACCGGCTTCGCTTTCTTACGCGGCCTATGTCTTACACGACCACAGTACGCGTCGCACAAGAACACAATTGTTCTCGGACCGTGGCGTTACCCCTCTCTGAAAAAGGCATTGTCCCGATGCTTTAACTAAATATGAAGGTACAACAATAATGCAAGAAAGTACAATGAATAAATTACGATACAATATTATTACAAAAAGCACTGTTTCAGTTTGTTAAAGCGCATGAAACGGGTTGAGGCGCGCGACATGGACGATTTCAGGTAGCGATCGGCGTTCGTTGAGAGTTCGTGATGCCGTCGGGGACAACGTCGTAATCAAGTGGGCCGAGACGTCGAACCAACTTGTACGGCCCGAAGTACCGTCGCAGAAGCTTTTCACTTAGTCCACGTCGGCGTATCGGCGTCCATACCCAAACAAGTTCACCGGGCTGGTATTCCACAAAGCGTCGTCAAAGATTGTAACGGCGGCTGTCGGTCGTCTGTTGATTCTTGATACGGAGACGCGCGAGTTGACGGGCTGCTTCGGCGCGTTGAAGGTACTCACTCACATCGAGGTTTTCTTCGTCGGTGACGTTGGGTAACATGGCATCGAGCGTCGTTGCCAGGCTCCTTCCATTGACCAATTTGTATGGAGATATCTACGTCATCTCTTGCACCGCCGTATTGTATGCGAAGGTCACGTACGGAAGAATGGCATCCCATGTCCTGTGTTCGACATCGACGTACATTGCCAGCATGTCGGCGATCGTCTTGTTAAGCCGCTCGGTGAGGCCGTTGGTCTGTGGATGGTACGCTGTCGTCTGGTGGTGGTTTGTCTGACCGTATGCCAAGATCGCTTGAGTTAAGGCGGCAGTAAATACAGTTCCTCTCTCGGTGATAAGGACCTCCGGGGCGCCGTGAGGTGGATGATATTTTCGACGAAGAACTTAGCTACCTCGGATGCAGTGCCTTTGGGAAGGGTTTTTGTCTCGGCGTAGCGGGTGAGGTAGTCGGTAGCTATCACGATCACGTGGCCAGACGTCGTCTTTCCGAAAGACGACGTCGGGAACGGCCCTAGTAGGTCCATACCGACCTGCTGGAAAGGTCAGCAAGGTGGTTCAATTGGCTGCAAAAGTCCCGCTGGCCTTGTCGGCGGTGTCTTACGTCGCTGACAGTACCGGCACGACCTCACATAATGAGTGACGTCGGTGGTAAGACGTGGCCAGTAGTACCTTTCTTGTATCCTCGCGAGCGTGCGAGAAACACCGAGGTGCGCTGCCGTCGGATCATCGTGCAGGGCCTGCAAGAGTTCTGGTCGCATAGCTGAAAGCACCACAAGGAGGTACTTGGCTTCGAGCGGTGAAAAGTTTTTCTTTTGGAGAAGACCGCTTCGCAGGAAGAACGACGCAAGGGCGCGCATGAATACCTTCGGGACTTCGGCAGTCCTGCATTAGAGGTATTCTATTAGGGCCTTAAGTTCCGGGTCGGCCCGCTGTCGTTCAGCGAAGTCGTCGATAGTTATCATTCCCAAGAAGTAGTCGTCATCCGGGTCGTCGGGTGGTGGTTGGTCGTCAGGCGCACGAGAGAGACAGTCGGCGTCGCAGTGTTTCTTGCCGGACTTGTAATTGACAGTGTCATATTCTTGAAGCCTCAGGCTCCATCGTGCGAGGAGACCTGAAGGGTCCTTCAAGGTGGCTAGCCAACACAAGGCGTGGTGGTCGCTCACAACATTGAAGGTCCTGCCGTAGAGGTAGCGGCGAAATTTCGACGTAGCCCAGTAGATGGCGAGGCACTACTTTTCTGTTGTGGTATAATTGGCTTCTGCTTTGTATAGCGATCGGCTGGCGTAACTAATAACCCTTTCAAGTCCGTGAGCCCTCTGCACAAGAACGGCGCCAAGACCTATGCTGCTTGCGTCAGCGTGTATTTCTGTCTCGGCGAATTCGTCGAAATGGGCAATTAACGGAGGCGTCTGTAGGCGATGTTTAAGCTCCTGGAAAGCGTGTTCCTGCGGCCTTTCCTACTTGAACTCCACGTCAGCCTTGGTAAGGTTAGTGAGAGGATCGGTGATGCAGGCGAAGTTTTTCACGAACCACCTATAATAGGCGCACAGGCCCAGAAATCGGCGCACCACCTTCTTGTCAGTGGGCGGCGGGAAGTCGGCGATGGCAGCTGTTTTCCATGGATCGGGACGAACTCCAGACTTGCTAATAACGTGCCCCAGAAACAAGAGCTCCTCGTACGCAAATCTTCACTTTTCTGGCTTCAGTGTGAGTCCGGACGTCTTGATGGCTTGAAGTACAGCTTCAAGGCGCCAAAGATGCTCAGTGAAACTCGAGGAAAACATGACGACGTCGTCCAAGTACACAAGGCAAGTATGCCACTTCAATCCTGCCAGTACTGTATTCATAACGCTTTGAAAAGTTGCAGGCGCTGAGCAAAGACCGAAGGGCATCACCTTAAACTCGAAGAGACCGTCCGGTGTTATAAACGCCGTCTTCTCTCGGTCTCTTTCGTCGACTTCAATTTGCCAATAGCCAGTCTTGTGGTCCATTGACGAAAAGTACTTGGCGTTATGGAGCCGATCACGTGCGTCGTCTATTCGTGAGAGAGGATACACGTCTTTTTTTGTGATTTTGTTCAGGTGGCGATAATCGACGCAGAAACGTAGGCTCCCATCCTTTTTTTTACTAACACCACGAGGGATGCCCATGGACTCTTGGACGGCTGAATAATGTCATCCCGCAGCATTTCATCAACTTGTCTCTTCATGGCCTCACGTTCTCGCGTCGAAACCCTGTGTGGACTCTGACGGAGTGGTCTGGCATTTTCTTCGGTTATGATGCGATGTTTCGTGATTGGGGTCTGCCGAATGTTTGATGACGACGAAAAGCAATCTTCATATTGCAGGAGCAGGGCCTTGAGCTGTTTTTGCTTACGGTTCGGAAGTCTGAGATTGACATCGAAAGCTATGGGAGGATCTTGGTTCCTTTGAGCAGGTTCCGCAGAGTCTGCGAGGGCGAAAGCACTGGTGGCTTCGACAATTTCTTCGATGTATGCGACCGTTGTTTTTTTGTTCACATGTTTGTACTAATTGCTGAAATTTGTGAGCATAATCGTTGCTTTGCCTCCGCGCAGCTCTGCAATTACTCTTGCGACGCAAATATTTCGGGTGACCTACAGATGCTGACTGCCTTTAATGACGCCTTCCAAGTCAGGTGATTTAGGAGCGGCGACTGGAATAATGACGCTTGAGCGAGGCGGAATGGTGACTTGTTCTTCCAGCACATTCAAGGCATGGTTTCCTGATGGCGTGCGCGGCGGTAGGGCTTCTTCTGTGGATAGCGTTATCGACTTTGTTGTTAGGTTGATGACAGCACCATGGAGGCAGAAGTCCATGCCAAGGATGACATCTCTCGAGCAAAGCTGTAGGACTACAAAGTCTGTAGGCGTTACGAGATGACCTACGGCTGTGCGGATTTCAGGGCCTTCCCAAGCTGTCCTAACTTTCTTTAACTTCGTGGCGAACGACCCACTGATGACGGAGTAGTCGGCTCCAGTATCGACGACAGCGGTCACACTATGGCCGTCGTTAAGAACGTCCAGGTCACTAGTTCGCCGTCTCGCATTACAGTTAGGGCGTGGCATCGGGTCACGGCTGCGTCGACTTGTTCCGCTGCTTTCATGTTGCGTCGTCAGGTCACCTTCGGTAAGTGAGGTTTCGCCATCAGGGCTTTGCCTGGTTGGCGTTGTGTTCGGAAAGCTCCGTCGTGGCGTCGTCGTCACGGTGGATCTTCGGTAGTTCGTCGCACCGCAACCGCACCTCCATCGGTTGCTGGCCTTAGTTTTCCGGATACGGGCTAGGAGACCGGCCCCAGGTTGGGCCAGAGTACTGCCGGGGGTGCGGTGACATGCGGCGGCTGGGCGACGGTGAACGGGAAGGACATCGTGGTGTCCATTCAGTTCCTGTCAGGTAGTCGGCCATGTCACGTGGTCGTTCTCCTGGCTGCAGACGCGGTGCATTGACTGCGAAGCCACGCAGTCCCATCTGTCGGTACTGGCAATGGCGGTATGTGTGTCCGGCCTCGCCGCAGTGGTAGCAGAGCGGGCGGTGGTCAGGGTTGCGCCAGACGTCCGCCAGTTTTCCTCGGCGCACTGTGCTGGGCCGCTGGTGACCGGTAAGACGTCGGTGGGGGTGGTGGCGGCGGTGGCGTCTGGCGACGGAAGTGCGATGGGGCAGCGTTTTGGCGAGCGCGTGGGGGAGGGGCGTGGCGGCGGGCTGCAGCAGCATAGCTCATGGCTTGCAGCTGAGGCTCTTGAGGCTGAGGAACGC